TTTAACTGCCCTGACTCAGTGCTAGGGAATCATGGGAACTGTAGTTTATTGTGGCACCAGAGCTCTCTGACAGAGAAGGCTCAATGTCTCAGAAAAAAATACAATTCCCATGATTCTTTAGCACTGAGCCAGGGCAGTTAAAGTGGACTCAATATGCACTATTTCTAGCAGTTTGCAAAGGCCCTTTGACTCTCTAGATATTTTTTGATTCAAATTCCCATCAGAAACCTTTTGCTCTGTTCAGTGGTAAGGACTGCTGGGAATGCTAGTTCATAGACATCTGGAAGGCCGCCCCAAGCCCTGGTTTAAAAGGTGTGAATACTGAAAACCCTGTATAAATCACAAATAATAACTGGGGACCGTTCATTTATGCAGATTTCCTAGTGGGAGTAGGCAAGTCTATTACCCTACAAGAGCAAAGTTTCAACTCGCCCTGTCTGCCCAGTGTTTTAGAGGTATAACATGAATTGCACATTCAGATGTGTCTTCTGTCCCTGTTTAAAAGCCTGGAGGCTGAGAGATGTTGTTTGGGAAGGAGTAACATTCTGAATAGCAGTTTCATGCCATGGAACCCACTCAAAAACAATCTTGAGGAGGGGAGGAGCCCTTTTTCAGACTACAACTAGAATCTCCTGATGTCCACATTGGCTTATGTGTGCATGGTAGTCCAAAAAGTAACTTTTAAAAGCTCTGTTTATGGGTGCTGTCACTTGACACAATGCCCTGCAGCCTTTTATACAGGCAAAGCAGGTTGGTCTTTCATTAATAAAATTAATGGGCACAAATGAACATTAAAAGTGAGAAGAAATGCCAGTGGCAGAGGTGTTCCGTCTCATGGGACATTCTGTTTTTAAGGTCTCAGGACATTCACACATACATATTTGTGGTCTGTTTCCATAGTACCAACCAGTGAGCTCATCTGTGGGAATTGCTTGTCCAAGGACAAGCTCTAAGAACAAAGATTTTGTTTTACTTAATATAAAATACAATGACATTTTAAATGAGGGCTGTCCACACATTCAACTGGGAATCAGCATAATGTACTGAGATGCAGAGCATTATTCACATGTGAACCAGTCATTGGATTCAGAAGACAGTGTGGTGTTGTGTTTGGGGCTGATTAAGGAAGCTCAGGTTCAAATCCTATGAAGTTCTTACTAGTTTGGTTATATTGCACGGTCCAAAGCATGTTTCTTCAAAGGTAAATTTAGCATGGTATTATCGCATCATGATTAAAAGCAGCTTACCTGAGCTGGCTTAGAGAGGCGCTCCGGCTGCCATTTTTTCAAGCCAGAATACTCCCAGCTTCGAAAAGAGGTGCGAGGAGTGCCACTTGGAGCAGCAATGGAGTCGGGCTGCAGCTGGGCGGTGAGTTCAGTGGCTAAATGTGTCTGATAATATCAGGATGCTGCCCGCTTCTAATTTTAAACTGGCTCAGGTAAACCGCTTTTAATCATGATGCAATAATCTCTACGTAGTCTCGCAATCCATTTACATATGGGAAGCCACCATGGTGTAGTGGTTTGTGTCTGGCCATGGAAACCCACTG